TTCTGAAGGAACTTCCATCCAAGTTCCTCAGGGTCCCTCCTCATCTGTTCCAGAAGAAACTCCATCACCACCTCCAATTCCATCCCCTGCTCACCAAACCACACCTTCTCCACCTGCTTCCCAGCCTTATACTTCTGGTTTCGGATTCACTGCTTTTAGCTCTGGTCCAAGTTCCTTGCAAATCCAGGAGGAACTTCAGCTTTTGTCCACTACACTTACACAGAGTATAACTAACCTTTCTTCTAAAGTGGATAACCTGGCTACTAAAGTTGAGGGGCTGCAAACTCAGATGCTTTCTCTAGAAGATAAAGTAAACGCTCATATGGACTCCTCGACTCAGGAACTCAAAGCTAAGGTGAAGCAAAGTTGTTACAAAATCATTCTTGATGCAATCAAGGATGTTCCCTTACCATGAAGCTACTACCATCTCCTATCCTTTGCCAAACACACCTACCCCACTGTTTCTTGTGATTTATGAACAATGTTCTTATTGTTTAGTTTTCTTTAGTTTATTTTGGATTTTTTGGTTGTTTTACACATTTCGTTTTGTTTTGACTCGGTTTGTGTTAAACTGGCTAAGTTTGTCTTTGAATTTGATATTCTCATTCTGGTTGCATACGAACTGTGTGAGCATGCTTAATCGTTCATGAATTCAGATTTACTACTCCCTCCGTAGTTTAGTACTATATATAGCATGCTCTTTCTATCATTTTGATAATGTCAAAAGGGGGAAGAGAAGAACAAACTCAGAAAGCCGGACTCAAACCGATTCCCTTCAAGTCTTCATCATTTAAGTAAAGGTATAAATTTCATAATTTATTAATTTCATGAATGATGCAGACTTCTTACTACTTAGTTTATATTACCGTTTTGTTTATTTAATTAGTTTGCTTTGTTAATGGTTACGATAATTGCCTGGATGTTTATTTTGTTTAACCGAGTTTGTTTTTGTTTGTCATCATCAAAAAGGGGGAATATTGTTGAATTGACTACCTTAATATTTTGATGATTGACTTACGTAAAACAAACTCTGACTAATGATGTTTATGAGTCTTGGTTGAACAGAAAGATTCAGGTACACAAATACATGTTGCGGAGTAGGAACAACAGAGTTTGGAAGACTTGATGATGAATGCAAGCTTTCAAGATGTCCTCACAACTCTATATACTTAGTTACTCAGTGTACGAGCTTAAGAAACAAAAGTGTTGGAAGGAATGGAAGGAATTAAGAAGAAACTCGAAGTTCCTGAAGGAACCTGAAGTTCCCGAAGGAACTTGACGATTGACTCAGAAAGTTTTAAACGAAAGTTTTAAAACAGTTTTCATATCCCTTAATTTAAGGAAGTGATAAAAAACAGTTTTGAAAAAGATTTAAAAATATTTTATAAATAAATAAATAATTCATTAATTTAAAAAGATAAGTTTTAAATTAATTAATTATTTATCTTTTAATTAATAAATAAATAATTATCTTTTTTATTAAATAATTATCTTTTTGAATAACTGATTTTTTTGACTTGGTAAATACTGGCTCCTAGTATTAAGGAGAACGTTGAACTTGGGAGTCAAGCTAAGGAAATCATGTTCCTAAATTTCCTCTGCCTACATCCAAACTTCTCAGCCAAAGAGAACGTGGGATTAAGGGGGAAGTGGGAATTTGATGGAAGCTTGAATATTCTCTTTATAAAAATAGATCAACGTGGCTTTTTGAAAGTGTGGAAAAACAATCTTAAGTATTCTGAGCATAGAGTTTCAAAGTGTTTAAAAGAGAAGTTCCTTCCATCCTTAGTCTCTTAAGTTCTTTAGGAAATACTTGTAATCATTGTGTAATTGGGTTTGGGTTGTGAGAGTTGTAAAGTGTGAGACTTGAGAGAGTTGTTTACACTGTACAAGTGATTCGGAGTAGAATCACAAAGTGTGAGAAACTGTGATTGAGGGATCACAGTTGGGTAACTTGAGTTCCTCACGGAACTTGAGTCTAGGCAACGTATTAGTGATTGTAAATCATTTTTACATAGTGAATTTATTCATTGCCTATCTCAGTGTCTTTTCTCTTAGTAGTAGATTTAATTCCACAAAATTTACCATAGTCTACATACACTACAATTCACCCCCCTGTTGTAGTATACATTGTTTTATCAGTTTCATCAATTAAGTATATGATTATTATTATTTTATTTATTTTTTTTAAAGAATTACCTTACACGGAGTATAACATTTCCAAATAATTATCTTATATATTTTATTTTAAAAGAAATTATCTTATATATGCAATTTGGGTTGTTAGCAACTTAGCATTACCTTAAAATGTTCGTCAAAAAAAAAAAATCCTTAAAATGTTATAATGCTAGAATGAGAAATGAGAAAACCACTAATCCCTTAACACATCATCTTGGTTTAAAATTTAAATTCTCTCCTCTTTTTATTCTTAACTTTCTCATATTTTGACAATGACATGTGTTAGGATATTATTAGCTTTCTTATTTCTCATTCTACCAAATCCCTATATAGTAACGTCAACTGACATATATGTACTTTAGGTCACGGTAATATTAAAAGTCACACAAGTCTTAATAAAGGTCACTATGTTAAATTAGGGTCAACATGTTCAATATAACGGCAGTTAAGCGTGTATGAATCTCATATCCACAATAATATTATTGTGAAACAAACCCACACAATTTTTTTCTTACATAAGATTCATCAGTGATCACCCACTAAAAAAAATAATAATAAAAAAAAGCACATTTATAATGTATTTAGGTGAGTGATAAGTCGTGTTTTGTGTATATTATTTGGCTTATTTTTAGTTAGTTTTGTTAGTTTAGTTGAGTATTTGAGTCCGTTTTGGCGTATTTTGCTTTAGTTTGGATAATTCGATGCTTTTATGGGTAGTTGTGTTGTTTTTGATGAATTTCAGAAATAATGGAACTAATTTGGATGAGTTATGGATCCATGAAGTAAGCCGAGGCCCACGAACCTTCACGAAGCTTGATGATTGAAGAAAGGACGATTTAGGGCTTTTTAGAGCTAGGCACGGCTGTGCCTAGCTGAGGCACGTCCGTGCCTCCAAGTCAGTATACTCATCAAATTGCTTCGACATTAGGCAAGTCCGTGCCTAGCAGGAGGCACGTCCGTGCCTATAGCCGTATTCAAAGACCAGCGCAGGCACGTCCGTGTCAAGCACCAGGCACGTCCGTGCTTGGAAGTCAGAAGCTACCCAAGTTTATGCACGCAGGTAGGCACGTCCGTGCCTCCTGGGATTCTTGTGCGCCAAGCCTTTTGCCGATTTTCTTATCTTTTCTAGGCTTGTATTTATACTAAGTGGTGTTTTATTATTTGATTAGGTTTTATTCTAGTATTTTTTTACATTGGGAAGAACTGGCTCTCCATTATTATTATTTTCCAAGTTTTTGGTAATCAAGATTCAAGATTCAAGCTTTCTACTTTCAATTTTATTCAAGATTTGGTATTTATTTTTCATCCTTTGTTATTTAATTATGTTTTCATTATTTATTATTGTCTTTGTTCCTTTAATCATGTGTGAGTAGATTCTTTAATCCAAGATCTAGGGGAGCCCAATTATAATTGATGCATGAATTAAATCTTTAAATTCTTTAATAACTTTAACAATTAAATTGCTATATTGATTGTGATTATGCCAATGCTAGGTTAGACGTAACTATAGTATTGCGATTATTCCATTGTTTTTATCACAGCGAGAGTTGGGTATAAACGGATTTGAGTAAATTAATTTAGGGTTTGATTCATATCACGAGAGTAGTTATGTTTGACAATCGGGAAGTTAGAGTAATGTGTTTAATGTCTTTAATATGCATGATACCATGAGAATAGGATTGATTGTATGTTAGGGAAGCCATTGATACTCGAGAGAGATCCTTGGTATTTATTAGGGTTTACTTTTCCCCGTTCGATTGAAATCGTATGTTAAGGGTAAAATGACAATTGCATCGATAATAATTGTGGTGAAACTAGATCTTGGATGTTTTAAGTACTTGATTTAATCATCTCATTTAGTTTATTTTCGAATTCTTCTCATACTTAGTTCCTTAGATAATTGATTGTAATTGATTCTTGCTTAGTAGAAATTCGAGTCTATTTAATTATTTCTGAACCTTAGTCTCTTGGGATCCGACCCTTACTTGCCAGTCTACATTAGTATTTGTCTGTTAGGTTATTTTTTATAGGTACGCGACACGCCTACCAAATTTTGGCGCCGTTGACGGGGACTAACGGTTTCATTAGATTATTTGTGATTAATTTTTGCTAGGCTTATTTCGTTGCTTCGGCTATTTTCTCTTGTGTTTTTGATACTCTTTATCTAGTTTTCTTGTTGCATGCCCACACGAAGCTCAGGTTCGGAAGATCTAGTACCTTTTGATTCTGAAATCGAAGCAACCGCAAGAAGACGGGTAGGTAGAAGAAGAAGGAGAAATCAAACCAATAGAAACATGGTAGACCAACCAACGAAATCCCTCTGGGAGTACGGTATTCCTGATACGACTACCGGAGTCCTTTCAAGCATCATAAGACCACCAGTCACGGCTCAACACTTCGAGCTCAAGCCACAGTTCATACAGTTCATCTCCAATGATTCATTCGCAGGGCTACCACATGATTGCCCCATAAGTCATATAGATAGCTTTTTGGAGAAATGTGATACTATGAAGTTGAATGTTGTTACAGATGATGCAATCAGACTACGCCTTTTCCCCTTCTCATTTCGAGACAGGGCAAAGGAGTGGTTAAGAGATGAAGGCACTGGCTCGTTCGATACATGGGACAAGTTAGTGAAGGCCTTCCTAGTGAAGTTTTTAGGGAATGAGAAGACTGCAAGATTGAGGAATGACCTACAAACTTTTAGGCAGTCAGATACTGAGTCTCTCTATGAGGCATGGAGGAGATTTAAAAGATTGCAGAGACAATGCCCTCACCATAGCATTCCAGATTGAATTTTGATGCAGACCTTTTACAATGGCATGACTCATGAGTTCCGTATTTACATAGATGCTGCGTCGGGAGGTTCTCTCTTGACAAAGAACCCCACTGAAGCTAGGGAGCTCATAGAGAAGATGGCGGCCAATGATAACTATCATCCTGGAGGCCGAAACATTGTGAATAGGGAGGTAAACTTGATGTTGATGCTTTAACTATGCTAACTAGTTCTGTACAGGCACTAACAAGCAGGTTTAGTAAGTTCCAAGCAGGAACTTCTAACACCCCACAGGAGTTGTGTCAGTTATGTAATGTGCAGGGTCATGTTGCTCTAGATTGCCCACAGATTTCGCAGAATACAGAAGAGATGTCAATCGAGCAAGCTAATGCTTTCTACTCCTCTAACCCAAAGAGGCCTTATGACCCTTATTCCAACACCTACAATGAAGGATGGAAACACCATCCTAACTTCTCATACAAAAATTCCCAAGCACAACAAAACCCTCCACCACCACCTCCACCCAACACCTACAACCAACCACCACCTGGTTTCCAACAGAAAACACCCAATGCCCACCAACCAATGCAACAACAACCTCAGAAATCAAGCCTAGAGGTGACATTAGAGAGCTTTATAACCGCAACAAACAGTGCCATCCAACATCAAAATAGCTCTATCCAACAGTTGCAGGCTCAGGGTAAACTTATGGAGAATCAGATAAACCAATTGGCCAACCAATTTAGCCAAGCCCTAAAGACTCCAGGAACCTTCCCGGGCCAGACTAAACAATCTCAAAAAGGCCAAATGAATGTCGTCACCCTGAGGAGTGGAAAGCAGTTGGAAGATCCTCCTACCAAGGAGCCATCAAGAGAGGTCATTAAAGAAGTGGGTGCAAGTGAGAAGGAAGTAAAGGATGCTAGGGTCGAGGAAGCATCAAAGGAAGCACCACCAAAGCCACCTGCTCCATATATGCCTAAGGTTCCTTTTCCTCAAAGATTAGCACAAGCTAAACTTGAGAAAAAGTTCAGTAAGTTTCTCGATGTTCTTAAAAAGCTTCATATTAATATTCCATTCCTAGATGTCATATCTGAGATGCCTTCTTATGCATAATTTTTAAAAGATATGCTATCTAACAAGAGGAAATTAGAAGAGAATACTACAGTTGCTTTGAATGCAGAGTGCAGTGCTATTTTGCAGAACACTCTCCCTAAGAAATTAGGAGATCCAGGTAGCTATTCAATTCCAGTGAAGCTTGGAGATATTGAGATCAATAGGGCACTATGTGATCTAGGTGCAAGTGTGAGCCTCATGCCACTGTCTATATGCAAGAAGCTGCAGATGGGCGAACTCAAACCCACACGCATATCTCTGCAACTTGCAGACAGGTCAGTGAAGTTTCCTTTGGGTGTACTTGAGGATGTACCCCTTCGAGTAGGTAAGTTTTTCATTCCATGTGATTTTGTTGTGATGGAGATGGATAAGGATGTGAATGTTCCTATCATACTAGGTAGACCTTTCTTAGCTACTGTAGGTGCAATTATAGACATGAAGAAAGGTAAGATTACTTTTGAAGTAGGTGATGAGAAATTGGAATACTCACTTTTGAATGTTATGGGTGCTCCTTCTATGGGAGACACTGTTTGTCAGGTTGATGTGCTCGATGAGCTGCAGAATGAGCAACTTCCCTTGAATCAGAATGATGATGCTCTTGAACAAGTGCTATTAGGGAAGGAAGATGATAATGGAGATTGGCAGTCTAAGGAGTATACCAGGTTACTTGATGAAGCAAAGGCCGATCCAAATCAGAACCCGATCAGAGAGACATTGGAAGTAATGAGTATTGGGGAGAGTTCTAAGCATCCCGAGGTAGAGTTGAAACCCCTCCCCTCTAACTTAAAATATGCATATCTTGGTCCAAATAATTCATATCACATTATTGTCAATGCTGAACTCAAGGACACAAAATTGGAGCAATTGCTCAACGTTCTGAAAACATATAAAAGTGTCATTGGGTACACCATTGATGATATCAAGGGCATTAATCCTTATTTCTGTATGCATAAGATCATTCTTGAAAACGATCATGCCTCTTCTGTAGAACCTCAGAGAAGACTTAATCCTAATATGATAGAGGTAGTTAAAAAAGAGGTTCTGAAATTTCTTGCTGCAGGTATAATCTACCCTATCTCTGATAGTAAGTGGGTTAGCCCTGTACAAGTAGTACCAAAGAAGGGAGGTATGACCGTTGTCAAGAATGACAAGGGTGAGCCAGTCGCCACTAGAACTGTCACAGGATGGCGGTATAGATTATAGAAAGTTGAATAAGGCCACCCTGAAGGATCACTTCCCCTTACCTTTTATTGATCAGATGCTTGAAAGGTTGGCAAAGCATTCCTTTTTCTGTTACTTGGATGGATATTCAGGTTTCTTTCAAATTCCCATCCGTCCCTGTGACCAGGAAAAGACTACTTTCACATGTCCATATGGCACCTTTGCATATCGTAGGATGCCATTTGGATTATGTAATGCTCCTGCCACCTTTCAGCGATGTATGATGGCAATTTTCTCAGGACTCATAGAAAACTCTATGGAAGTATTTATGGATGATTTCTCTGTCTTTGGAACATCTTTCGATGTATGTCTTGAAAATTTGAAAAAAGTGCTCCAAAGATGTAAAGAAGTTAATCTAATCTTAAACTGGGAGAAATGCCATTTTATGGTACAACAGGGAATTGTCTTAGGTCATGTCGTGTCTAATAAGGGTATTGAGGTTGATAGAGCTAAAATAGAGGTCATAGAGCGCTTACCACCTCCTAACTCTGTAAAAGGAGTTCGAAGTTTCCTTGGTCACGCAGGTTTTTATCGGCGTTTTATTAAGGATTTTTCGAAAATTGCTAGACCTTTAAATGAGCTATTGGCCAAGGACGTCCCTTTTGTCTTTTCTGATGCTTGTCTTGAAGCTTTTAACAGGTTGAAGGAAGCTTTAATCACTGCTCCAGTCATGCAACCCCCAGATTGGAGTCTGCCGTTTGAAATCATGTGCGATGCTAGTGATTATGCGGTAGGAGCTGTGTTGGGGCAAAGGAAGGAGAAGAAGCTCCATGCCATATACTATGCTAGCAAGACTTTGAGCTATGCTCAAATGAATTATGCCACAACTGAAAAAGAAATGCTAGCAGTTATATATGCTATTGACAAGTTTCATTCTTATTTGGTAGGTTCTAAAGTCATCATACATACAGATCATGCAACATTGAGGTTCTTGATGACCAAAACACATGCCAAGCCTAGGTTTATTCGATGGATTCTACAGCTACAGGATTATGACATCGAAATCAGAGATACCAAAGGGATAGAGAACGTTGTTGCAGACCATCTTTCCCGTCTTTTCCTTGACCCTGAGGATGGAGATGATACTCCTTTTGATGATTCTTTTCCTGCTGAACATTTACTAGCTTTATTACAGACTGAATCCCCTTGGTTTGCTGACTTAGCTAATTTTCTCTCAACAGGTACTATGCCTCATGGCTACTCTTCTCAACAAAGGAAGAAATTCTTTTCTGAGGCAAATAGATACCACTAGGACGATCCCTTCCTTTACAAAGAATGCGCGGACACCATGATCCGTAGATGCGTTCCAGAAACCGAGGTAAGTAATATTATCTCACATTGTCATGACTTACCCTGTGGTGGACATGCAGGCCCCTCGAAGACAATTGCAAAGATTTTGCAATGTGGATTTTATTGGCCTACGATGTTCAAGGATACCTATGCCTATGTCAAAGCATGTGATAGATGTCAACGGACGGGCACAATTTCTAAGAAGAACGAGATGCCACTTAACAACATACTCGAGGTCGAGTTGTTTGATGCGTGCGGGATAGATTTCATGGGTCCGTTTCCCTCTTCTCATGGCAACCGTTACATATTGCTAGCTGTTGATTATGTTTCAAAGTGGGTGGAAGAAATAGCCACTCCAACCAATGATGCTCGGGCGATAAGTAAGTTTTTCAAGAGAGTTATTTTCCCTCGTTTTGGTTTACCACGTGTTTTGATCAGTGACAGGGGAACACATTTCACGGAGCATCGGTTTGAAGCAATGTTGAAATAATATGGAGTACAACACAGACTTGGCATTGGCTATCACCCACAAACTAGTGGCCAAGTTGAAGTGTCCAACCGAGAAATCAAATCTATCTTGGAGAAAACGGTTGCAAGGACAAGGAAGGATTGATCAGTTAAGATTGATGGTGCGCTATGGGCATACCGAACGGCCTTCAAAACGCCTATTGGTACTATATAGACTTGTGTATGGAAAGGCGTGCCACTTACCAGTCGATCTAGAACACCGAGCTTTTTGGGCTATTAAAAGTTTAAATTTCTATGCTCAAGCAGCAGGAGAAAAGAGATTATTACAATTAAATGAGCTAGATGAGCTCCGCCTTGAAGCCTATGAAAGTTCAAAGTTGTACAAAGAAAAGACCAAAAGGTGGCATGATAAGGGTCTTGTGAGAAGGGAGTTCAAAGATGGGGATCGAGTCCTTCTTTTCAACTCTAGGTTGAAATTATTCCCTGGTAAGCTTCGGTCTAGGTGGTCGGGACCGTTCAAGATTAGGAAAGTTTTCCCCTATGGCACTATTGAGTTGGATAACACAAGAGGGGAACCCTTCAAAGTCAATGGACAAAGAGTGAAGCACTACCGAGTCGGTGATCCCATCGATGAGGGGGTGGATATCACACTCTCGTCCCCAAGCTCCTGAGAAGCACTACGGTCGAGCTAAAGACCTTATAAACAAGCGCTAAATGGGAGGCAACCCATTCTTGAGTTTTCACTTTTCTTTCTTCATTATTTTTATCATTTATTCTTGATTCTTTGGTTTAGATCTTATGTTTAATTATTTTGTTTGTTTCGTCTTTTAAACAGGTGAAAAGTGGGTGAAAAGAAAAGAAAATAAGGAGGAAAGTATCAAAAAGAAACAAAAAGAGGAGAATTAGCCTGCGCAAGGAGGCACGTCCGTGCCTCTAAGGCAGAATGTTGAGGAAGTTTGAGTTCTGAAGAGGCACGTCCGTGCCTAGGGCCTTCGTAAAAATAAAAAATAAAAAAAAAAAACTGAATAATTAGGCACGTCCGTGCCTCTGAGGCAGAAAGTTCAGATTTCAGACTTTTGAAGAGGCACGTCCGTGCCTCCCTCGAAAATAAGGAGGACACGGGCATGCCTATTTCCTTCATTCCCAAACTCTCACCTCTCAATTTTCAAACTCAGGAGCTTCCCTCTCCTCTCTTTCTACCCCAATTTCGGCCACCCTCTTCAATTTCTCACCTTATTTCACAAAATCTCACAACAATCTTCAAGTTTTCAATCTTTCTACTCCAATCATACACTCCACTACCATAAAAAATCAATCCAAACCCCAATTTCTTGCAAATTTTCGAAGAACCCTAGGTTGAAAATCAATTTGGGGGTTTTTTATTGAAGGCTTTTTGGAGCAATTGGGAAGCAAGGAAAGGATTCTAAGGTGCTATTTGCAACTATTGTGGATCAATTGCGGGTATTAAACACCCACCACACCTTGGGTACCCTCTTTTCTTACACTTTCTCTCTCTAGATTTTTATGCTTAATTTGCTACGAATTGCTCATAGAAATTGTTTGAGTTAGTTAGTTGTGTTTGGTTTGTTTGCTCGTTCTGATTATTGTGATTAAGAGTTGGTGTAGTGTAGTGGTGAAACTAATTTTGCACTTTGTTGATAATTGTGAGTTTGTGACATAGGTGGTTGATTAATTGGTTGTTTCTTTGTGCTTGAATTACATATTTCATTGTGAAACCGTCAATTATGGCCTCCTCCTCAAACCCAAGAAGAAACCGCCCTAGAAACACCTCCTCTAAGGGCTCAAGAACCCAACCCCCTCCACAACCACTTGCCCACATTCCCCCTATTGACACTTTTGGGATTAATTTCGGGGCCAATGAGGAATACATGAAAAATTTTCTAAGAATTAGAACCCGATCACTAGTCCCAAGAGGATTCTTTGACCGAGAAGCCATGGCCACCCTAGGTATGGGGGATGAAGTCCAACGAATTTTTAGCCGGTTAGGATGGAATGGTTTC